ATTATTTATTCCATTCATATAGCATGATCCTGTTTTTAATGAGCAGGCAGAAGTACTTGGCAGGTAAATCGCGTAGTCATGGACTAAGTATTAGCTACTATGAAATTGAATTCTGTACTTGTGTGCCTGATGCAAACAGTAGTGCACACACACAGAGTCTAAAGTTCCCAGAGAAACCAGGGCTGACATTTAACTGCCCCTGGGAAAAGAGGAGGAAATTAATACAGTGGGTATGGAAGACAGAGTCTTGACACAGCAAGAAGAAACAAGAGGCAGAAAAGAGGTGAATGACTGGATGGTGAGTCAGTGATATTTTTGTTGAGTTTATGCATGTTGTTTATTTTCTGGGTGTGATATCCAAATTAAACATTAGATATACCTGAAGAATGGATACATAGACGTACTGTTGAGTGTTCCCAGCTACTGGGATGCACATGGACACACAAACACCACAAGAAACAACATTAAAAGAGGCCTATTAAGGCTGCAAGGTCAGTTGTTCAGAATTACGACAATCAGAGCAAGCCTGTTTATTCCTTTCTTTGTGCTTATGCCTCATAACCCAGTTTTTAATTACATGGTAACAGTTTGGTTTTTTTTTTTCTTCTGTAGGGCACCTGCCTCAGTCAGTGCACACAATAGGCAGTGTATGCTCTAAGAAGGTAGTATTTCCCCCTTCAATATACATCTTATTTACTGTGTGCTGTCCAGTCCCAGCTCTGGAGAAGAATTATTGCTTAGGATGTTGCCTGTGGAGCTCATCACCATCACATCTTGAGTGCTTCACAACATATCCATCTAGTTTTCACCCCTGAGATGTGTATAATTCCCACAGAAAGAAGGTGATAAAACAAGTTGGCAAAAGCCAAACACCATCTGTCTGTTGTGGAGTCTTCCACTGGAAATGCCAAGGAGCTGTTTTTTCAGACAGCTTAGTGTTATACACTTGGACTGTTCAATGTAGAGTTCCCGTTGGCTTCGGTCACAGCTGTGGATACCAAGTCCTGCATTTCAGACTTCCATGAAGCCAGGCCACTTGCTCAAAAAGAAAAGAGCATGCTAATCACGGTCATTAGGGCTGAATGTGGGTTGGAGCGATTTGCCTGGCATTCTGTGACTAAAGCCCATGTGGAAATCAGTTTCCCACGTAGCCTTCAACTGCTTCAACCATTACGCCTTAATTTCACTTCTTGTAATCTTCTGGCTCACTCATTTTATAGCTTCTAACTCTTGCAACAGCTGAAGCAGGGATCCAACCGACACGATGCCAGGCTTTTAATTTTTTTTTCCAGGCTGATACCCATTTGGGCCGTCAGCACAGGTGGGATGTTTGGTCTTCAGCTTTGCAGCCTTAGCTCCTGAAATACTTGGGCTGAACTGATCTCCTCGAGCAAGCACTGGGTTAAGGTAGTACAGTCCTGCATCTGAGTATCCCAAGTCTCCTGCCCTGGTAACTTGGTCAGTCTTGGGGTTCCTGCTAACACTGTTGTCTGTCCTGTCTGTCCTGGGCCAGAGCCAATTCTATCCCACTCTCCACAAATCCCTTCCGGATTTGTCTTCATTTTGCCCTGGTTCACCTGTCTGCTGCACCGATTCCCAGGCCCTCCCTGCCTGCCTAGCCAGCTCTGTCTTCAGCTCTCAGCCCCTCTTTACATTCACAGTTGTTCTCCCTGTAGGTAGTTCTCAGTCTTAGTTTCTCCCCATCTTTCACCTGGGCTTTTTGTGCCAATTTTCTCCCAACTCTAGTACAGCCGAAGGCTTGCCTCCCCTGCCTCCTACACCGCGAATGCTAACAGAGGTAGCCCTGAGTATCTGCAACACGTCCTTTACTTTTGGCACGACTTTTACTGAAGCCAAGATGGGTCGATGGTCTCCTGAGGCTGATGGCAGCCCTGCTCTATAAAAATGAGTTGATGACCCATCAGTTCCATACCTCCCCCTTTCCCCTGACGGGGAGCCTATTTCTATAGTGCTGCCTGGCTGCCATGGATGAGATCTGAGGTCGTTCCCAAACCTGCTTTTCTCATCCTCTTAAATATGTAACTTGGCTGCCAAGTCATGGATATGTACTTGGCAGCCTGCAATAGCAACTGGAAACACAACATACACAATACGATTGTCAAAAAAAAAAAAAAAAAGATGGCTATAGAGAACAGAGCCAGACCTGCATTTTCAGGCTGATTTGAGATTCCTGCTTAGCTATCCATGAACTGATTGTGTTTGCATGGATAAACCTTTATAGAGTACCTACAGAAGAAAAGATGCAGTGTTTGGAAGGCTATGGAAATGGGGGGAAGTTAGCGACAGATTGTTTTATGGAGATTTTCTTTCCCCACATTGTATTGTTCATTTGTTCTTCCATGTGGTCATGAACATCTCAGTGTTGGTTTCAGGAGTATTTACCCTAGTTAGAAACTATTGCAAAAATTAATGATGCCGTCTTTAAGAGCTGAAAGCACAGGGAATGTTCCTTCTGTCTTACTGACCTGACCTGTCTAGAAGTCTGAGGTCAGGTATTTTCATCTCTTCAAAGTACATACTGGCCTAGTGCAGCTGTACTAGCAAAATTTTCCTAAATTGTGGCTGGCTTTTGCCTTACAGCTGACCTGATCTATTGAGACATGTGGTCCTCCCCCTGTCCCCTTATCTTTATCTACGCCTCCACTGGCCCTTCTCTGACTCCACCTTGAACTGATGTAAAATTCTAACTCAGCAGAAAGCTTCTCATTTATTTTTGCTGGATTATGATTTTTGACAGTTTAGGGAGCCGCCTTGCTGTGGGGACAAAGATAAAGAATCAACACAAAGATAAATGGTGGGAAAACTTTGATGGGAGCAAGAATGCCTCTTCCATCAACAACTAGCTATTAGGCTGGCTTAGCTGTAATGTGAAACCTCACCCTTCATGGGGACTTGACTTCTATTGGCAAAAAGTGCTTTTATCAATAAAACTTGTACCAATTTTGGGTGCGATCTAAGCAGTATCAGTTATACATGACGCTGATCCACTCTGAATGACTAGTGTGACAGATTCTCTGCTTGCAAAAGCAAATGCTTCACAATATCCCAAAGATCAAAACCTATCCCTCCAAATCATGCCCTTNAGCGACCTGCCTTAGCGTACGGGAATTATTTCCAGGGGCAGCTAGCAAATCTTGAGCTGATTGCTCGCATAGGGACCTAGATCATGTCACAGACTTGTAACCTGGTAGACATACTTTTAAATCTTGTAAAGTCCCAAGCTAAGGTATGTTTAACATTCAGAGTGCTGTACAGACGCCAATGCCCATAACAGAGGGATGAGGTCCAGCTGCCTTCACCGCTGCTGGTCCTGGGCCAGCAACCAGGAAAACCACTGCAGCTCCCGATCGCCAAAACCACAGTAAGCCCAAATGAGTGGCCGTGGAGATATTATCATGTGGAAAGCATTTAATTTCCCTGTTTGGGCTAAAATGTTACCCAGGGAAGCTGCTTAGCAGAACTGGGAAGGAGCAGAGCACACAGACCATGAGTCCCAGTCCACAGAGCAGGCTGAAGGGGGGATTGAGGTGCTGGGACCTACTACGGTTCCGAGGGAACAGCAGACCGTCACCAGGAGACTGCCGTCAACAGCGCCTGCCTTCGCCCCTTCGCTCCTGGCAGTGTCCCAGGCAAGCGCCATGCTGTCTGTGAGTCTCCCCACCTTTCCCAGCTCCATCTTGTTGCTGCTGTTCACGTTCGCCTCTGGAACAGATCCCGGGGGGCCACTGGAGGCCCCATGGGGCGGGCAGGGCAGGACAGGACAGGGACCTGTCCCACTGCCCCAGCCAGGGAGCGTGGTGGCCGGGGACAGTCATTCAGCCATTCGTATTAGTGAGAAGCAGCTGAGGTGTATTTTGAAGGACACATGAGTGGTATTTTCTCCTTCCTGTGATGCGTTGGTAGGCCTTGTGATGCCATACTACCACCTTTCCTAATTTTCTTTCATGGTTCATAATCACCTATGTGTAACATAAAGGTATAGCATTTGCATGTCCCTTTTCATCCGAGAGTTGTAAACCAGTGTTACAAAGCTGGAACTGAAGACTAAAACAAACAAGTTGAAATAACCACTTTTTGTCAAAGGATTAGAGCCACGGTTTCCTAATACTCATCTCCGTGGTCTAACCATTGCATGGGCTGCTGGCTGCTGACGTGAAATTATTCTGGTGTCCCGTATCCAGCGTTCTACTACCAAATTAGATTGAGCAAGAATTTGTGAGAGCCTTGTGGCTGGCTGGCTGAATGGTACCTGGCAAAAAGTCATGGAAAGCCTTAATGTTTCTCTCGGTTTAAATTTGTAGGCAGAAGGATTTCAGCAATAAAGAGTCATTTTGCTTTAAAGGTGACCTGCAAATAATAGTTAAGGGTTTGTAAATCTCTCTTGTTAATTGAGAAAGGGACTAATAGATCTTCTTTATTTCCAGGGGATTTTTTTTTTAATGGATTTTTAAAAAAATATATGGATGCTGTAAATGCTGTTACTAGTAGTTTTGTCCAGTGTGTCCCCTGAAGGGTCTATCTGGTGTTTATTGAAAGTTCTCAGAATATCAGGAAAGTGCATAACATATTCCATTTTTAAACAAAGGTTTCCTTTTTCCTGACACTTAGTCTCTACAATTACATAAATATTAAAAAAACCAAAACAAACCAGCACAACCAAATAAAGGCAATGTGTTGCTTAATGCATGGCTCCATTCGATTTCTCAGTCTTTATCGATTCACTGGCAATCAAAGAACTGATGTTCCTTAGCAAACTTTCAATTATTTATTCATACCCTGAAAGACATAAAAAAGGACAGATACATGTTTTTCTTTCTTATGCTGGCAACCTTTAATCTCAGAGAACTTCTGTTCAAATGACTCACACACAAACAACAGCTGGGTGAAAAGCAGACTGAAGAAAAATAGAAAGTGGCCCATATGCACAGTGCTTGCACTATAAATATACTTTGTTGGGCTGAGAACTTGAGCATAGATTTATGACATGGACTCTATATGCTGTTTTCTTGCAGACGATAAAACTAACTCCAGGCGTGTGGTACTGGAAGGATGATACTAACACACTTGAATTTGCAAGGTAAGACAATGATGTTTTGTTTCAAATTAAGCAGGTTTAGGCCTCGATATAGCAGTTCCAAGTAAGGTAAAGTCAGAGTCTGATATTGTTTTGCTTGAACATCAGCTGCAGGACAAATACCTTCTTTCTTTCTTTCTATTTTTTTTTTCTTTTTTTGCAATTGAGACTGGAGCTCCTTAACTGCTGCTCATATTAATGGAGAAAATCAGAAATATGCATTTACTCCGTAATACTCTCAAGCTGAACCCGCTCCAGAGGGATGGCTGAAAGTGTGTGGCGAGTCCTGCCATGTGTCAGAAATGTGTACCACGCGCTGGAGCAGCAGTGCTGGACGCCAGGGCCAAATGCCACCCCAGGTGTCTATGGGTGGAGGTTCACAGACTGATGGTCCCTGTTGCCGGTGTTAGGTATGGTCCCGTGCAATGGTGAACACCAAAGGACTGCAGACCTTTAGGGAAACCACAGGTCTGCGGGAAACAAAGTCCACGTAACTGTGCTTTGTGGCAGCTGTGGATTAAGACTTTATCAGGCCATTTAAACCACTGGGGCAACTCCCCCCAGCACCCAACCTATATCCCCCTGCTCTCTTCTCAAGTGCAGGGCAGGGAGCGTGGCGGAGCGCGGCGGCCGTGGGTCAGTCACACGCTGTCTGCTGCTGCCTCCTGCCCTTCTGGGCATTTTCCAAGGCTTTGTCACGGTGGAGCCAGGCTGCTCACCTCTCTCCTGGTCACAAGGCTGCTGCAGGCGCCTTTCATGGTCTATGTCTCAGCAGCTCCGGCCAACTTCTCCCCTGGGCTTGGGAATGCTGCTGACTCTGCCCGGTAGCTCTCCGGGGAGAGGTGTGAGCTCCCTGGTGACCTCTGCCTGTCTCTGCCCTCAATGATCCCAAAGAAAAGCTCTGGAATGGAGCAGTTTACATTTAAAATCTTCCTAAAGCCACTTGAGACACCGATCGCTTGAGGGGTTTACGTGGCGCAGTGCATTTGGTGGCAGGAGACAGAGCAGGAGGACCCGGGGAAGCCCCTTTACTCTTTGCTTCTGTGCTCTTGAACGCAACGTCTCACGTTGACCTCACCACAACCCAGGTGTTTTCTTAGTGTCAGTTAGAGGCCAAAATAGGTATGTCTTTGTATCATGGGATGTTGACCTCTTTGTACCGCTGCTAGTAATTTAAACTCATGCTGCTGCATGCTCATACTCCGTATTTCAGCTCCAGCCCAGCAGCTGAGGAAAACCTTAAGGAAGGACAAAATATTCCCTTTCAGGAAATGCGTGTCAAGACTTTAAAGAGGTATTTCAATTCAACTAGCCTAGCTCAAAAAGAAACAAGATCATTTGGGTGGGAATATTTTCATCCATTGTCTGAGGATCATGTCTGAACAAAGCGCGTGAAACAGGAAGCCAGCTGTCATTTCAGCAGGGTGGATGAGTGGTCTGAACATAAAAACAGAGCCAGACATGCCTGGTGTTGAATGCTAGCTCAGGCACTAGCCTGGTATGACTTTGGTAAAGTCATTCAGCATCTCTGTTGCTGTTTCCAGATCGCTCAGAACGAGGTAATAATTCTCATCTACTCTAAAGAGTATTGTGAGGTAATTAATTCATCTGTGTAAGGCACTTCAAAGATTAAAGTATTATTATTATTAATAATAATAATAATAATTTTATAAATTCACAACATGGTATAGCTGACTTTCATCCATTACTTAAAACCTCTTTGATCTAAATAATATAGTTGCAATTTATTATTTTAGCAACTAAAAGAGCAACTTCAGACGCAACCTTAGAGGTGAAATGTCCTGTTTCTCTCAACATCCCCAGCCTGTTTTGTGGTTATAATAGTTGAAAGTTAGTTCAGGATACCTGCCAAACACATTTCACTGCCCGTCCCTTTGAAACTGAGTGCAATGAAGAGAGTACATGCCAGGTAGATAATCTTAATATTCTCAGACTGGAATTAACTCTGTGTCCTTAAATATTATATATTGGTCAACCACTAGCATCTTCCAAGGTGATTGCAGTGCAACTCTCCCTGAAAGAAGGCTGGCTGACAAAGAAGGAAAATTGCATAGGCTGTCCAAGTGGCTACAACATGAATATGTGACGTTGGATGATGTCAAATGTGAGTAATTGCTGGTATTTCTTATCAGCAAGGCGTCACCCGTACAAGTTAGAAAGTTATTTCTACTAACGCTAGCATTTTTTTTGAGGAAATATTGTTTTTCTCCTCTGTTTTCAGATGCTGCTTTGCTTTTGAAAGAAGCAAATAAGTCACATCACATGTTGCCATTTGCAGCAGTTATCAGGTATGTCATTTAGAGTCTGTTTCAAGAATTATGCGTGTGTGTAGCTGGTAGTGGAGGGACCAGGGTGTATGGGAAGTAGAATAAGAGGTTTAAAATCTCTCATCTGTGAGGTTCAGTGGGAAACAATACCAAATGCATGTTTTGACATGTGCAGAGAAATAACCCTGTCACCTGTTTGAAAGCCTTCCACTCTGTTACCGAAAGGAAGCCAAGAACTTGGGCCTAAATATCTGAAGGTTGTTATCCATTTTACTCTAAGTTAAATTCCATGTTAGCCAGTGCATCTGCAACACTGTGTGAACCAGGAGTGCTAACACAACTGGGAACCCGGGCTGCCTTCCTGTGCTGCTGCTCTTCCCTTCAGAGCTACAGGGCTCATTCTTTGCTGCTTTCACTTATCAGCATTACTTCTCTATCAGCTAAAGGCGAGGAGGCAGCAGGCAGAGCATTGTGTCTCAGAGGCATATCCCTGAGATCACCAGGGCCATACAGTGGCTGCATTGTCTCTGACTTAGGAATGTATCCGTAGACCTTGTTGAGCCTTAGCCGTACCGTCCTTTCAGAATGGGAGAAGTGTCCCGAGTCGTCCCCCTTTTCCTTTGAATGTGAATGCCACTCTTCCAGCACGTTCAGTCCAGAAAACATGCTCCTTGGAAGTATGTCTGGTGATATCCAATTCAATCCACTCTTCAGTGTGTTTATTGGACTCTGTTAGTAATTCTCTGAAAGCCTTCAAAGTCTCGGTGTGGAGTGGAGTGCTTGCTACGAGTAGGTCTCAATCATATAGCTAATATTTGGTATAATGCAGACCCTTGAGCAGAGACTTTGTTCTTTTTCATAATGGTCTGGTGGTGTCTATATCTGCAAATCTGCAGACTTCACAGTGACCTTTCTATCTTCCATTTAGGAATGAGAAACTAGATATGTTCCTCATGGCCCTGCTCTTCTACCTATCTTTTTACCTGGAAAAAATTGCCCTGGAAAAGAAATGCAGACCCTTGATTTCGTGAGTACAAGACTTTAGGGGTATAAGTACACAGAGCTTGCCCCAGCAAATCTGGAATCACAGGGCAGTCTTTCGTGTCAGAATCGGTGGGATTCTGCATATGAGCAAGGACTGCTTGCTGTACTGGCTGAGTCTATATATAGAATACTAAGGAGAAAAACTCCTTGGTCTCACCATTTATGTCTCCCGTCCCCTTGTCCTCTGTGCTCTCCAGGACATAGGCTCCTCTCACTATGTAGAGAGAGAGATTTTCTGGGAGGGTTTGAACCCCGCTTTGCCCCAGCCTTGCCCTGAGTGGCATGCATGTTGTTCACGTGGCACGGCATCACCGTAGTCTCCCTTTCAAGACGGTGGCTGGATCCAGTCCTGCTGCAATGGAGTCACCAAATAATTTGGCTCCTCAAGGTAATGCTGCAATTTGAATAAATCATTACTACTGCCACCAACGTTAAATCTATGTGAGTGCCCTGGTTTGAATTACCATCCCTTAATGCCATTTCCCAGTAATAACATTAGCATCCAGTCATTTCTGCTTGCAATAGAGAGCAGCAAATAGTAGCAACTGGGTCTGCTGGGGGTTAATTTGTGCTGTGGGTCACATCGCTTTAAGACTTTGTTTCTAAATGCTTTGCAAAGCAGGTTCAGATGACTCTTAGGTGCTGGAAACATGTTACAACATGAGGAATATATGCTAGAAAAGCAGTTCCCAAGTAAGGGTGTGTGACCATGCTTGCTACCTTGCAGAGTGGAAGTGGGGATGTCAGGGGAATACTTTAGGAGCTGCTGTGTTAGAGGGTTATATGCCTTGGGAGAAAGCATTGCAGAGTTACAGACCATGATTGTAAGAAACTTCAATGATTTTCTGGAGTCTATAATATTCTCTGAGAATTGATTGACCATTTTCTTAAAACGCTTAAATGATTACTTACTTCACAATTCATGAAGCCTTGATATAAAGAGGGGCTGATTTATCTGGATTGAAGACAAGACTGTTGGGGGATTGCTGGCCTTCAGGAATTGATTTGTTCTATATCTGTAGATTGCCAGGTGTTTCTTTCATTGTGGAAGGAATAATTCATAAATAAAGAAAATCATCAGCGTAGTTTCATACATAAAGGTTGTAGATTCAGTTGAGGTGTTCTGGGCTGCAATTTACAAAATGATCCCCTCGCTCTTGGCTGGTAAAGGACAAGGAGGCCACTCCATGGGTCATGACACCTGCTGTGGTTTAACCCCCAGTGAGCAACTGAGCACCACGCAGCTGCTCATTCACTTCCCCCCCACCCAGTGGGATGGGGGAGAGAATTGGAAAAAAAAGTAAAACTTGTGGGTTGAGATAAGAACAATTTAACAGGGCAAAAAGGAAGAAAATAATAACGATAATAATAACTACAATAATAAAATGACAATAATAATAATAACAAAAGAACTGGAATATACAAAACAAGTGATGCACAATGCAATTGCTCACCACTCGCTGACTGATGCCCAGTTAGTTCCTGAGCAGCGATCCCCTCCTACACCAATTCCCCCCAGTTTATATACTGGGCATGACGTCATGTGGTATGGAATACCCCTTTGGCCAGTTTGGGTCAGCTGCCCTGGCTCTGTCCTGTGCCAACTTCTTGTGCCCCTCCAGCCTTCTTGCTGGATGGCATGAGAAGCTGAAAAATCCTTGACTTAGTATAAACACGACTTAGCAACAACTGAAAACATCAGTGTGTTATCAACATTCTTCTCATACTGAACCCAAAACATAACACTATACCAGCTACTAGGAAGAGAATTAACTCTATCCCAGCTGAAATCAGGACACACCTCAATATGGCACATATCATCTACTGGTGTGGCAAATACAGAAACATACTGAAATAAAGAGGAATTTGGTCCTGCTGCAGTTTGAGGTTATGTTTCCTGGATCAAGGGGGCTCTGGTTAGTAAGTATCAGCTATAAGCACTGGATAAACCCGTCCAGGAGAGACTTGTCAGTGTGTTCTGGCATGCAGTGCTCTCAAAAGGCTCCTGCCTTTTGGTGGCAAACATATACTGACTCTCTACTTCTACAATGCTGTTTTATTTAGATTCATTACCTCCCCTGAAGGGAAGTGTCTTGCTTGTTAGGATTACCTGCATGCAGTGCAACATCAGAGAAGCTTGAAGAAGACACACTTATCATGCAGAAGCAGGAATTCAGCATATTGATCTACTGAAGTATAAATACAAGGAAGGAAAATAACATGATAAAAGGCAATTTTATGTCTTATTTAATGCTGAAGCTCATCCTTAATGTTTTAACGTCTTAGTTGACTTGGAGGAACAGGGAGATATTAATCACGGTGTGAAGAGCTTTCTGATACTGCATCTTCTTTCCCTGTTCAAGACCTCCCATTTCTGCTGTTATCCACTTGGTCTAATTCTGAACTTGGTATGTGCTATATTTCAAATCAAATGTAGCAAGGACTGTCTTTTTCCTCCTGCGGAGTAAAGTTCTGGAATGGTCTTCCACTAGGAAGTAGTGGGGGCAGGCAAGAAAACTGCATTTTTCTGAAGGTGGAGCTTCCTGAGCTTGTGAAAGGGATTTTATAACTACTTAATAGAATCATAATGACAGAAAATTATACTTGTGATAAGAATCCTTGGGTTTATGATATGCTGATGTATTTGAGAGGATGGGAAACAAGATTACATAGCCATTTGTTTTCCTGTATCTATCCCACATAAATCCCCTGCTCAGGGCTGTTGCTAGTGGCCTGCTCAGGAAGAAAACTCCTCCCCCCCCCCCCCCCCCCCCCACCCCCAAAGACAATAAATCAGTGCA